TTGAATTAGTCCGTCTATTTGTCTTGGCGGATATTGGACCATTAGAAGGGACGGCCAATTTGAACCAGCCCTTCAAAGGGCCAACCCGATGAAAGCAAAGAAGGAGACTTTTTTGGACAAAGATCAAAAATTGACATTGCCGCCTTCTCAGAAGTGTGGCTCATTTGACACGCGTTATTACACATTGCCCGCTAATAGCCACGACTTCTAATATCTTCAAATTTACGATCTTAACAAAAGTCGAATTCGATTTTTATAACTGATCCTGATAAATCGGGCTTTGAATTGCCATGAAAATGATTTTTTAAATTATTTTTTTAAGGGGCATCCGACAGCTTGGTCATTTCGCCCCGAGCGCATGCGAAATAAAACGAAAAACATCCAATACACATTCGCACAAATAAATACATTCACACTTATATACATTGCATTCATTCTATTTAGTACATGTAGTAGTTGTAGTACTCAATATTTTTTATTGTTATTAGTTTTTATAATTTTTTTCTAAAATTGTCGCTTCATGATTATCGCTGCCCGCGTAGTCTCACTATTTAACCAGAAAAAACCTTCCCTTTTTTTTTAAAAAAAAGCACCACAATTGTCTAAAGAACCATAAAATCTTCACAACGAAATTTTCAATAATTTTTAGAATTAGTCTGAGTAAAAATTAATGAAATTGTAATGTCTTTAGATCTTCGACTCAGAGAAGTGCGTGATTCCAAATTTTGTCATACAGAATATGTAAGATTTAGTGTTAAAAAATAGATTTCTAGACCATTTTTATCCGTTTGATTTTTTTTTCAAATATCTTAACCTCTTGTTTGTTCAATTACGAAATTACGATGAATTGAATCTGGAACCGTGAAATAATCATGATAATCATGATTATCAATCATGCCTTTTGAGTCTCGCCATTCAACCAAAGATAACGTATTAAGGCTAAATCAAAATTGATAATAGACCGCGTTTATTAGTCGGATTTTGTTAAAAATAAAATATCGTAATCAGTTTTTGATTAAATTATGTCCTTATGCTTTCATCAAGTAGATAATCACAACTCGCCGTAAATTAAGAAAAACTGGATGGGGCGTCAGTGGCCGCAACGGTTTGGGCGTTGACACGGCACTCATAACTGTAAGATAAAGGACCCGGGTTCGAATCCAGCGGCCCTGCATTTGGACCCGACATACTTACAAATGGGCTTTTTTTTTCAAAAACACCGGCACCCTGAGGGTTTATACGACCTCTGCTGTTGCGAACCCTTGTAAAAATAAAGAAAAAAACTGGAAAAATCTATTTTTCAAATATTCTGTAAAATTACTGTTGTTAATTTTTATGGTAGTATACATACATACTCAAGAATCTTGCTACAAGATTTTTTGCAAATACATAACGACAATGCATAACTATAAATTATTTATAATCTCCATTAGATTTCGGGGTCCGATTGACCAAATAACATCTTCCAATTAATTAACCTTTATGTAAGGTATTGGTTGAGATAAAAAAAAGTCAGTGTCACGAGCAGGATTCGAACCCACGACCTTCGGCCAAATACGCCGCTGCTCTACCACTTGAACTATCGTGACTTCGATCCACTCAGACACCTACTTCCCATCTTCACATTGTCAATTGATTTTATTTTCAAATAACTACTCAATAACTAGTAATTATAGTGAAGTATGAATGTGCGTTAATATTACTGGTTTTATTTTGTCTTCATTGAGTTTGAAACACTAGTTCCTACTGGCACTGGTCTCCAAAGAACAATTTTCCGCAAAGAATGCCTCAGAATATCTCCGAATGAGATATCAGTTGGTTATTCAATAAAAAAAGTGCGTAAAAAGTTACTGGTTCTCTTGTCAGCTCCTTCTAAACACGATTGTTTAAATTATTCGCTTATTGTAAATTTTAGCACGTATTTTTCGGTAGGTATTCTTGCAAAAAATATTACAATTAATCTGCGTCTTGATTGTGACTGAATGTGAATCATGTGTGTGCGGGTGGTTTCACTTTTGTATTCAATTTTAACTGATTAACTTAGGAACAAAAGCCAAATTTTTTAAGGTTTTATCAAGAACAGTTCCCATTTCTTAGCAATTGTGGTTATTTTAGTCATATTTAGTGATTTTGACAAATAATTTCTACCAATCGTCTAAAAATGAATAATGAAAAAAATTTCATTTGTTTTCCCCAACGCATCGAATAAATGTTAATAAACAATAATGACTCGAATTTGGTTCATTAAGGCAGGAAATATGCCATCTATCAAAGTTGTAATTACGCTAGAATCGATAAAAAGGGCCAACGGTAAGTTTGTAATAATTGTTTCTCCTTCCTTGGCTAAATCAATTTGTTACAATTCGTATAATTTGCCAGTTTTGAAGATTGTCCGCTAGTTCTTAAACTGTCCAGGGGAATTATATCCTCCTTATACACGAGTATAACGCGCGTTTCGCGTGGCCCAGGAAACTCAAATAAAACGATTATCCATGGGCAAGTTTTCAATTATTCACAAGATCGATTCCGAAATACTTGATTGTCCCATTTTTTTCCTTAACATGCCACGTTCCTTAGAATCTACGTGGAAGCGTGTATGAATCATATTCCAACGAGGAATAATTGCATATTGTCACTGGTTATATGCTAAAATATATCGGCAGTGTACGAATTTAAAAAATGAAGACTAATTAAGACTGGGCTAATTTGGCCAACGAATCTTGACAGATCGATTCGATTCATAGATAGGTATAAATTAAATTCTTAACGAGCTTCTAATTTTCAAAATAGACCCTGCCAAAAATAATTTAAGTATTCTCAGCATCGACCTAAATTGCAATATCTGATCAATTATTGTCAATGATATATTTTATTTTTCACCGATATAATTAGTGGCCAGCCTTCTGCATTATAATTTTGTATTGATCAGGATTCATATTTTTGTGTTATAGATGTACAGGTATGTCTGTTCCTTTACACTTGAGATTTTTTTATTGGGTTGTTTCAAATGAAATGTCCGTTTCCAAGAAGAAGGTGTTTAATAAAATTGCTATATAACAACAAAATTGTATTCGAAGTATTTACCTTAAATTTTCTACACATTTTTCCCAACGCGTGACGAACTTTTTTATGCCGGAACTGAAGAATTCTGAACTTTAAAATGAAACAAGATCTGAAAATGCTTTTTGGACTTGAACGTAATTTTTAAAAATTCTTTGACGAAGTTGGCTAAATTCCTAAACAGGTGAAAATCTGTTGGAGATAAGTCTGGAGAATAAGGAGGATGCTGAAGAACTTCGTAGCCAAGATCTTTCAATTTGTTTACTGTATGTTTTGAAACGTGAAGCCTGGAATACATCACCATCAATTTTTTAGTGGTAAATTTGGTTTTAAAATATCCTGGTCTTTCGTCGATGTCAAGCCACTGTTTTGGCATGCCCTGACCGATCTTGAGACCTCTCCCAACCCTTGGATGCAAGGGGGGTATCCAGGCACAACATCATGGTGTAGCCTCTCTGAATCACAAGCTGGATTCGTTCCTCCGGGTCGGCAGCGGACGGCGAGTTCTTTATCAGAGGCACACGAGGGTTAGGGTAACAGATGCTGTCTGCATAGACGGGGGGAGGGTGCATAACCGTTTGAACTACGTCTAGGTGCGCACGCTAAGAACCTCAATGTTAAATGACATTGCGACCCCAGTGGGGTAGCAGAAAATGTTCCAAGTCAACCCTACTACATGGGAATGGACTCGTAGTGGCTTAGTGGCGATGCCCCTGGAGAGAACTTAGTGTGAACCTGTTGCTCGGGGGTACTTCGCGGTTTCCTTCCGAGGGCAGTGGGGTGGTTAGAAATTCCACTTTAACCAAAACCGCGGCCGGAGCGGATCCTAAATTTATTACGCTCGAGGAGCCTCAATTCTCTGGGAGATAGAGTCGCCTTCTCTATCTACGGAGCCGGCGGGACGACCCAGGCTGATGCATTTCAGCCATCTGAGGTTACCCTTTGCTGTGCGACACACGGTCTGGTGCTTAACACAACCCCATCCACACGGAATGGATAAGCAGAGAGTGAGGTCCGTCTCGGCCCCTCGGGGCTTCTACACCAACGCTTGAGGCTATAACGCCCATCTGGTCGTGAGCGGAGGTGCGTCATTTCTCATCTTGAGAATCTAAACGTCCGGTAGGGCCGAAAAGGTTAGATACGGACGTTGAAGATCCTCATGCCCATTTAAGGGCTCTGGTAAATACGGGAAGCAATGCCCAGACCGACGCTGATTGTCATATGCAATCCATTTTTCATCGCAAGTGATTAATCTGTCAAGAAAAGGCTCGGATTTTTGCCTGGCAAGCAACGAAACGCATGTCTCAAGGCGCTGTCGCTCAATGGGCTCATGAGGGACCCATAGATCAAGCTTTTTCACTTTTCCTATGTTCTTTAATTGTCTTGAATTGTCTTGCGAGTCCTCTGGGCTCTGACTGTTTGATAGTGGTTTACTTCCACCTGAGGCATAAGGACATCGTTGTCAATTAAAGTTTGAGGTCTTCCGCGAGGCTCGTTTTCCAATTCGATATTCCCTTCCGAAAACTTAGCAAACCAACGGACGTTCATTTTCCTTCCCATCCCCAAATGCCTTACTTTTATTTCTTGCATTCTCAGCTGCAGAATGACCGAGTTTAAACTCGTAAAGGAATATACACGAAAATCCCGTGTTTCCATGTTCATATTTGGAGGTATACTAAAAAGTGTGTAATGGATTAGCGAGCTCATCAATATAAACAAATGTGGAGGATTAATAACTGCTTAATTATTGTAAACAATTGGACGTATACAATAGAAAACCGCTGTAGCCTTTCTGAATTTCTGAAACTGTGATATCGGACATGTGAAGCAACCCAATTGCTTTTAATTAAGGAAAAAAGTGTTATGAACAGAAACCAACACATCCATATACCTTGCATTGCGGCAGTTCACAAAATGTCAAAAAGCTTTTGAAGAGTTACCTTGAGGTGATTTCGTCGTGAGGTCGTGCGGTGTGAGCGGGCTCCTCGACTCGGACCTGGAATCGTCGCTGTGGGCCGGGGTTGACGCCGAAGGGGGCGACATTTGCGGCGGCCGAGGCAGATAGGGCAGCATATCACCCGGAGGGATGAGCAAGGGCGAAAAGGGCAGCCAGGAGTTGTAAAGGAGCGGCAGAGGGAAATATGGAGTGACCGGGGGCGGCACTGCCCAAGGGCTCAGGTTCCTCACAGCCTCCTCGTCGCATTTCCCTATCAAAGATTCGATGGTGAAACCTCGCCCGCCGGCTTTCTTCCCTTCTCTCTTGTCCTCCATCACTAAAGGTTCATCCTGGTATATTGCTGTAAAACCTAAAATCATACAAAATTACGTATTTAGTTAATACAAATTAAATTGACAGTCTGCTAGGTCTAGTTTTGTTCGATGAACCTAGATCAAGCCTATTATTGGTAGCAGTATTACAAAAAACAGCAATAAATAACTTATAATCACTCTTATACTATGTAAATAGCTAATTAATATTGCTGTGCCTCGATGTCTTGGTCGGCAGATGCATTTTTGCCATCTTCAGTATGGCTCTATATGAAAGAGTTCAGGTTTGATAGTATTTCTCTACATTCTGTTCTTCTGTCGATGTTCTTTTATGGGAAGAATCTTTGTTCATATACACTGAACATATAAAAGGACCTTAATACTCAAAACCCCAAAATGCCTGCCACTGCCAAAGTGACGAAGATAGGTAGACCACAATTATCGGAAAAGATCAAGCTACAGGACATCACCCCGTAGTACTCATGAAGAAATCTTCCAACCCATGAAATAGCTTAAATACACTTGATAGTACATAGATTTTCTATCTTTAAAACGATTCGAAGTTTTCAAGAAAATGATCCTCGTCTACATCATAGTATTTTTGTGGCTCATTATCAAATGGACTAAAACTCAACAAAACCAAGCTTCCCGAAAAATGAAACAGCGTGAAAGAAATGAGAATAACCTCATCAACTGTCTCAAAAACCTATGAATCAAACCTACCTCTATTGGACACATTTATATACGAAGAAGCTAGGAAAATCTCACAGAGATTCCAAAAACAAATAAATTGGATGGGGCTAAATATTCGGGCATGTAGATGTAGATGTAGACATAGATCCGGGGTGTAGTATACTGCGCCCTTTAAGAGCTATTGTATCCCCCGTGCTCTGTCTAAAGCACATCGGTGAGTCCTTTTTCATCCAGAAACTTGATTAGTAGGCCCGGTTTCAATGGTTGAAGCTCTTCTATGGTCACATTTTACATCCGAAAACATTTCCTCTAATGGCTACTGTAGCTCCGCAGTTTGTTAGTAAATGTCCTTGCAGAATCTGCATGTGCCATTTTGGATTATTCCAATCTTCTTTAAGTGTCCTATTAACTTGCAGTGTCCTGTTAGAAATCCTATTAGAAGTCGCAGTTTGTTCCTGTTTCCCTTGACACATTCTGTAATTTCTTTTCTTACAAAATTAGTTAGGAAATTCTTGGATTATCTGTGTCCAATGAGTGAATTCCAAAGTTCCCTCATTCTCTTTTTGTCCTTCTGTCTGAGATACTCGTTAATAGTGTGGGTTCCTATGCTACAGAAGGGTTCAGGTCCTATCAGCGGTGTAGCAGCCCCTTTTCTTGCAAGGGTGCCCGCTTTTTCATTGCCTTCTTCTCCCATGTGTCCGGGGACCCAGCAGAGGCTGACTTTGTTCTGCATACCTAATATGTTTAGTTTGGTTTTGCAGTTCAGCACCATCATTGAACTAATGATAATTGAACTTAGTGCTTTGATGGCTGCTTAGCTATCTGACCTGATAGCTATATTCTTGCTTTTGTACTCTTTACTTAGGTTGAGTCGGGTACATCTTTCGATTGCATGAATCTCAGCTTGGAAGATACTGGTGTGTTTTCCAACGGGTTCTGAGTATTTGGTTCTAGGTCCAAATATTTCTGCCCCTGTGCCTTCTTGTGTTCTAGATCCATTTGTGTACCAGAGGATGGTGGCATTTTTGAAAGAGTTGTTTCCTTCTTTTTCCTATTCTTTTTTGGTACCCAGGTTTATTCGGAAGTTTTGGTTAAATTCAAACATCCTGTTCATGTCGTCTCTTGGAGCCATGAGTATCGGATGGTCTTTCCATATTTTGTTGCTATCTCTACACTTCAATCCAGACTACTATGTGTTCTGGTCTTTTTCTTTCAAAATTTGCTAAAACGAAATCGATCTAAGGATCATACGAATCGAAAGAGATTTCTATGCCAAAGGAAATGATACGTCTGCTGAAATGTGGCAAAAGTTAAACGAAAAAATATACAATATGTCAGATTAATGAGCCTGGATATTTTATATTATATATTTATAAAATGTATAAAAACAACAAACGGCAGCGACACGCTATACTATCAGAAATCAGCGTTATCATCATAACAGCGCGGCATAGAATTGCTAATAGCTGTGAATACTGCACGGAATCTTAGGTGGCTCTCCCACCGACACCGAGTCCATTAGATCTACGCAGGGGTCTCAAATCTTGGATGTCCATGCGATCCTACTGCGAGTGGTGTAAATATTTAAGTTTTGCCCTGGCTAGCCAAATAAAAAAAAGTTAGCATTATTAAAACTGTTGAGTAGAAGTTAGTAGTGTTGTTTATGTCCAAAGTCAGCAGATCAATTCCGAAAAGGACCTCAAACATCGCACTTTAGAATATCTGACAAAAGTGGATTTAATTTTTTTAAAATCTAATCCCAAAAAGCTGCAAATGGTACTCAATAGTATCCATGACTGGACAGGTTCTATGAAAATGTACGAAGAGAAATCCGAACATGTAAATTTCACAAATAGAAAAATAGTAGACAAACCAATCACCTTCAATGGTAAAGTAGTTCCAATCCAGAATTCAGTTAAAAATTTAGGCACTAGATAAAAAATGAAATTGGGAAGCACATATCTAAAAGAAAATGACAAAACTTGATTTCAAATATCGTCAACTTTACTGGAGTAATTCCCGGCTATAATAATGATTTGTAATCATATGTTAAAACGTATATGGATATGGTATACTACTCTAGGGGTGTGCCAAAAGAAGCAATACCCGTTCTACGAAATGTGGTGATACTTCTCGTTAAGTTCACAATAGATCTGAACATTCCAAACATCGCCACGGAGATCACACGATATGCTTATAAGCACTATCTACGTCTTCAACACCAGCCATACATAGACATCAAGGGCAAGACGACTGAAGAGGGCAAAGCCATTTGAATTAGTTATGTAAAAAGTTACAAGGCGAACTCAACTAGATAAACTGTGACACTAATAAATGAACTAAAATGTAGTTATTACGAAACTAGCCATTGTAAAAATTAATAGATTGTCTCATTTGACCATTTTTAATAAATAAATGTTTTAATTAAAATAACAATCCAAAAAGGTTAGTAGAGGTTTCGGAGAAGATCAGAGAACCTACCAGCTACTAATTAAGGCAAATAATGAGGTACTTATGTAATAATGTTAGGGCCTCAAGCGTTTCGCTATTTTCGGAGATGGGTCGGTATTTTGATCGTTTCAATACATTTTACAAAATATTTTAAAATTGCGAACGGACTTTATCTTGCATTAGAATAGGATTGTCGCTGATTTCATCGAGCTTGGCAATGCTTGATGTTCGAAAATTTGATCCACATAGAGAGTGGCCGTCAATGATCCTCCACGAACAACAACCAAATCTGTTCGACTCTCCATTGAAATTCCCGCCCACGCCATCGCTGAGCTACGTTGAAAAGGTTAGCTCTGGGAAAAATTACAAGCTTCGTACCTTTCATTTCGCCTTCTTCACGCTCTTTCACGCCAATCTGGAGATCGTACAGAAAATCTACACTCACCTGTGAAAAGCACAGCAGACCAATTGTTTAAAGACCAATGGCTTTGTTTTTGAGCAAATGGGAGTCGTGCAACTCCGTGTGTTCTGGTCAATTCTGATCTTTTTAGGTGGCGAAAAGCCATCAATCCATACTGATTTAACCTTCTTCGAGCAGTGCGTTTAGATATTTGTACACCTCAAATTTCCTGGGGCTGATGAATCGCTTGAACGCTTGAAGGTGCCGGTTTTGCAAAATTCTCAAAGTCAAAAAACGGCCATCCTTTGGTTCTGTTACCCTACGGCGTCCAGAACCAGGCCTTCTACGGCAGGACCCTGTTTCTCGAAATATCTAACGGCATCTCGCAATGTTTTGTAGGGAACTCCGATGGCAATAGCCGCACCTGATGGAACGTCCTTCATCAATAAGTGCCACACCACGCGCAACATGCTCAACACTAAGTTGCATTTTTAAGTTTAAAAATTGAAATTAAGAAAACAAAGATGAAATCTAAACTGTTTATTGCGTCAGAATTCACATGAGACTGAATAAACATTTTAAATTCCGTAAAAATTAAACATTGAAAAATACTTTATCCTTGTTTTGGATTATAAGTGTGTTTACCTCTAATTGCTACTCCCAATTTAAACCATAGCATAAACAAATATTTATTGATAAGAACAGTGAGACATATTAAGAGCAGAATTTTCTTTTATCGAGAAAAAATCAATTGGGTGGAATATTTTACCTGTACGTGTAGTATAACTTGTGCCCAGTTGTTTTGATAATTGTGAAGCTAAATTATTTTACTACGAATAAACAGTTTTATTAAGTACTATTTGTTACGTGTTATAATGGTCATTGATCAGGTACGTTAAATTAAATTTGTGCCATGCTTTGATGTGAGCCGGATCAGAGGTTTTTTTTTTCAACAGGCCGGAAATCCCATCAGATTTATAACAACGTCTGGTTTATTGTGTCATTGTTTTATAACTAATGTCCCGTACTAAAATATATATTCAGGAGCTGTTGGACGCTTAAGTAGAACCGATGAATATTTATGGGTGTACTCCTCCGACCCGCTCCCTCCAACGAAACCACCAACACATTCGGCCTGGGACCGATTTTATTCAAATTGCCAATAGAACGGTCGCGGAAAGTTTAAAATCTAACATGGTTGTGAACAATGGATTTTTTTACTTATAAAAATTAAAAGTAGATATAGTTGTCAAATGTTTATTCCCCAAAATTAAACTCTATAAAATATTACAAAGTTTATAAAAATAATTATATTATATAAGAAATATGCTATAAAAAAAATCTTACGTACTGAAAATTAAAACCAAATGCACTAGAGCTTTTTTTAAGTATGGATTTAGAATAACAACTTTCATGAAATAAAAAACAACAATGTTTGGTTAATGGCATTGAAATGACCACCCAAAAATTTTATTTTTTAAATAATAAAATAAA